TCTGCCTAGAAAACAGTGTTCACTCTCTGATTAGGTATTTTGCTTTAGCACTTTTATAACAGCAAAGCTGTGACCACAGGGAGGATGGAGTCATATTCTACAAGTTTAATGACTGGGTGGTTTAATGGACAGAGAAGAATGCAACTAAGACAGGAAGTTCTCCATAAATCCTGACCATTTGCAAAGCATCAGTGATGGAAAAGGACCAGGGCCATGCAAGGCAGCCTGGGGAGGAGAGACCTCAGCAGGAGGAAGGAATAACCAGCACTCAGAGCCAGTGTTAGGTTCAGAATGAACTTGAAACACTGGTTTCATGCTGCATTCCCAGGTCCCAGGAAGGTGCCTTGACAGCGATTCTCCCGGCTTTATTGATACCAGAAGGGCTGCCAGGGAGGTTCTCATGGTCCAAATGTCAGGGAAATGGCACAGAATATGATCACACACGTTAAAGACAGACTACAACAGCTGCCCTTATGAGGAGCCAACTGATATCCTATGGTTTGAAATCAAGACAGCCAAGGCCAACTGTTTCCGAGCCGCAACCCCAAACCACACAGGAGGAATGTGGAAACTTCACCAGGACACACCAGTGTGCTCCAGGGACAGCGTGGAGGTAACTGCTTGGCTGACGTAGTTGTTCAGCTCTGAACTTTAAAAATGCATCTGCACCTCGCACAGAAGGCCACGACCTTCTGAACCCACAGACTCAAACCTTCGTCACCAAACACAAACCATCTATGCAAGGAATTCCTGCAGTCCAACCACTCAGCCGTTGGAGCCATGGGATGTCCCTCCTCTTCCCTTTCACAGACTGCATTAACCACAGACATTTCACGTCACACATTTTTATTAACCTGGAATGCCAGCAAAGGACCGCAAAAACATCTCTCTCATCTTTTTGATTCAGCAACAAAAACCAGCTCCAATTTGGGAAGATCTGTCAGATCACTTGGGGGATCACATGGTACTAAGAATTCAGCTCTCCACGTGCTAATCCCAGCTGTGCTCTCAAGCACCACTGGACAGCTCTGCCTGCCCAGAAGAAACCAGTACAATGAAAGAAATGACCGTGAACCACGAGGAAATGGGGGTAGAAGCTTCTCCACTGCCACCACGTGGCTGGTGAGCTCTTCCCATAACTGCATCAGGGTGGTATTCCTGAATATGGACTGCCAGCCCCACTTTGTTTCCCTCGGTGTAGCCAACTTAACATATTCCTCCTGGGATCAGGAAAACGGGAAGATCCTCACAGCACACAGTGAACTACCTGCCCACTCAGCAGCTTCTGTGCTGAAAAATGTTCCAGGAATATGTATAACATGAATAAAAATACAGTGGATACCCGGGTTTGCCATCATTCCCCACTCTATCTGTTAACATCATAAGCACAGCAAGCCATACTCAATTTTTTTCAGATTTGCTTTCCCAAGGGATGATAAGAAGTAATCTCCCTGTTGTTACAAATGTTGTATTTCGAAAAGAAAGCTTTTATGCATATTTTAGTTGATCTAAATACAGTAGATCTTGGGTTTTTAAATCACCAGATAATATGCAATTATCTCGAGCTAGATTCTGATTTTGAAACAAGCTCTAATTAGCTCCCCATTTTATGCTGCTATAATCCTTTCTTCAACTCCCATGAGCGTTACTATTGCTAAGCAGCATGAGGTTAGGAATGATGGATGATACCCAGAAAGGAAGACAAACAAAAGGGAAATTCAAAATCCCCTGAGATCACCCGCAGCTGTATCGGCAAATGAAGATTTCCACATTAGGTCATAAGACGACCCTTACAGAAACACATACCAAAAAGGCACGTCTTTTTTCCCACTGAGTATTTGCAAGTCTTTAATGTAGTATTATAGAGAGTGTATGTCCTTCACAGAGGATAAAGACAAAAGTGAATAAAAATTCAGCTTTCCTGGGAGCGGCCACGAAATCAAGAGCACCGAAAAGAAAACTCTGTCTTAAATCTCGTATAGACACGCAGAACAAGGCCCCAAAATAAAACAAACTAATAAAAGCTATACACAGTACAAGTATTTAGAGAAATATCCAAGCCTTCTCCTGGCACATGGCGACTGTCCAAACCCACCCCAGCTCCCATCATCAGTAATGCAACTAAATAAGGGCCAAATTCATCATGAAAAAATGCTGATGCAGTTGGGTGACACTAATTCAACTTTTTTTTCCCTGTGATTTGGTCTGTGCTTTTGACACATAAATCATTAAAAAGGCAGATTTACCCAAGGGCATTAGAGCATTTAGGTGGAAAGAAATACACAGAAAAAAAAATGTTAGAAAAGGCACAGCAATACTATTTTTGACCACCTAGGGTACAAACACCATTTTTGTGTAAAACATGTTCCCTGAAACTTGCACAAAATCACCAAAGCATTGAAGGAAGGTCACAGGCAGAAAATGCAGGTGTACACCTGGTTGTCATTTTGGTATAGACTGTTTTTCATAAAATTCATAAATATAGCTTCCAAAGAAGAAAACCAAGCCTGGTTTCTCTTTGCTATCTCTCTCTCTCTATATATATATATAATTACATAAAATACATATATTTTATCCATTCATTCCCACATATGAGAGACTGATGGGTCCATCTGTCCACATGTGAAAATGGAAAATTACTGGACTAAAGACAAGATTTTCATGGATTAGGTGTAAATCAAAACCTTATGATCTAGAAGTGTAACGAACTGGGCCAGAAATCCAGAAAATCTTGCTAGTTTGATACAATAGTGCCAAACAGTAATGAAAATACTCCCAGCTAATAAAAGTTTCGTTACTATGCATGTTGACACTCTGTACACTGAAGACCTTCTTGGCAAAGCACTCAGGAGCCACTGAGTGTGTGAGTTTAATTTCACTTCTTTCCCTTCATGCATTCAACAAGTTCCAAGCCAATTATATTACATGGAAAAGGCTCCAGACCTCTTCTCGTTTCAAAATTGTTCTGATTAATTTCTGTTTTAAAATTACAAGTATGCAACCTTTTCTGCCTTGATTTTCCTGGGAAATGTCTCAGAAGACCAGAAAATTGGAGCTGTCTCTCTCTTTTTCTCTTTTTTTTTTTTTTCCCCTCTGCCCTGGAGTGGTGGATCTTTCACAAATGCATAATTATTATTACCTTTTCCAAACTGTTTGCTGCGCTCTTAATTACAGAACAGCTGCTAATAAAAGGAAATTACCAAACTGCCCGTCCTCATTCAAATAACTTGGTTTTGCTCTTTTGTTCTGCCTGGTGTCACAACCTGCCTTATTCCTTTACACAGAGAAAGGCACCAAGAAAAGAACATTTTGTACAACAATTCTATTTTTAATCCTTGGAGAGGAGGTGGAAAAGGGCACGAGCCCGTTTTCTCATTTGTAAGGGGGCTTTAAGGAACGGGGGAGGACGATCATCAATAATATGATTTTATTAGCTGATAGGAACGTGTCTCCTCACAAAATATTAGCTCAAGGGCAGGAACTGACAAACGAGACTGGGAGTGTGGGAGGGAACAAAATATCCCGGCAGCAAAACTGAACTTCCTGAAGGAAATCACTTTCAGCTCCCAGCAAACCTCCCGGGAATCCACAAGGTGGTCGGATTTTAATACTATGGGCTTGTCTTTCAATCTTTTATAATTAGAGTTAGTCATAAATATGATGATTAGCAATAACAATGCAGCATTTCCCAGCTCCTCTGATTTCAAATTCCTCTTAAAATGGCTACAATTAATTACTCATATTTTCCACGCTGTCTGAGGCGTTTCTAACTGTGACACTTCACTCTTGCACGGTATTGATGCTACAAAAAATAAAAAGTAGTCAATGGCATGTTTTTAACAAACCATCACAGGAAATTTCCATGTTCCCTAAATGCCTGGCAATAAGTAACAATAGCCCTATGATTGCAAATCTTTTTCTCCCATTTTGGTTTTGTTTTCAGGGCTTGTTTTTACTTGGGGCATTTTTTTTTTTTTTTGGTTTTGGTTTTATCTGTTTATTTTGAACTGTTCTTCTTAAGAAAAACGTGGACTGAATATCATCACGGATTTTCTTCCAGTAAAATCTTTTAGAATGCAAAATAGTTTCCCAGTAGAGAGAAAAAGCAGTTTGGTTGGGATATTAAGAGTAAAGCCAGCAAGCTGCAGAGAAAAAAGAGTGTTTCAGAATAGCAGAAAGGTGGAAGAGGAGCACAAATCATCCCTCTCTGTATCCTGAAATGCAGCAATTCTCCAACACAGGGCACTGGCTGTAAGTACAGAGCAGGGCATGAGTATTTTTCTAGAGTACAAAACAGCCTGAGTGGTTTGTGTCAAGTGAAGCATATAATTGGTAAAAGTCTGTGTGGGTAGAGTTTGGTATCCAACAGCAGGAACACAGCTGTTCTGGTCTGTTCCAGCCTCCCTCCCATCCTGTGGCCATCTTCTAAAACCTTCAGCCACTCACTTCTCTGACACTCAGCTTTGCTGCATCTGCTTTTTTTTTTTCATTTTTTTTTGCAAATGGAAAGGGAAAGGAATAAAAAAAAAGGTCAGCTTGGAATATTTAACGAAGCTTGAAAAAGACACAACGTGGTGTGTTCCCCACCTTGGAATTAACAAAGCAGATTTTGTGCAAAGGAAAGTGGAAAAAAACCTACCAGTGAGTGAGGCAGCTGCAGTATGTGGATCACATTACAAACCAAGGGCTTGTTTTACAGCCATTGTCACATGTCACATTGATAAGCTGAACTATGGCAAAAAAAAAACCCCTACTGAGCCAATGATCTCCAAGATCACATAAAGTCTCTTTACCTAATATATGCAGCTAAATATGTGTACTCCCTACCTCTGCCATAGCAACAAGGAGAGAAGGAGGAATTAAAGGCATTAATAAAAAAATTGAAGGGACTCCTGTATGATACAACACAATGTGAGAAACCTCTTGGCATCAAAGCAAACGAAACGTAACAAAAGCACAGAGAATTATTTCAGAGCAAATCATTGAAACCAGCTGATTACCTGAGCTTGCACATCCCTGCTGTAGGGAATCCTGTAATGATGTCACAGAGTGAAGGACTAGATAAGAGAGGAGAGGAAAATCAGGGAACAATAAAAGGAGATGCCAAACCACAAACTAAACAGTAAGCAGGCTCAACAAATAGCAAACTGATCTTGGCAAGGGCTCTCTGCTCAGTTAAGTCAGTGGCATATAAAGGTACGACCGAGGCCAGACTCCAGCCTGGCTTTTCTGTGCCAATGGGAATTAGGGTAAGAGACAGCCACAATAAAAGTGTAATTGCAACACAGCATTCCCCCTTTAGAGCTTAGTTCTTCTAGCTCACCTCCTGAGACAGCAATCGATATTCTCCCTGGGACAATCCAAATCCCCTATGCAGCCCTAGGACACAGCACGCAACATTTTCCAGCTCTTTGGCCAAAATTTTTGGAATTACGTCTCGTATTCGTGCCTAGATAATATCACCCTAATCAGGAACTTGATAACTGCTGCTTATCAATTATGCATAAACGAGCGCTTCGTTCATAAACATTCCCAGCACGTTCCCTTAGGGACTGGCTGGGCTGCCAGGGTGGATGCTGCCACTTCCATAAGGCCTGGACCAACACCGGTGCAAGGCTGGCTTACTGCAAATTTCAAAAAAAAAAATAAAGAAAAAAGAAAAAAAAAAAGAAAAAAAAAAGATTTCCTCCTCCTCAACTCAAACAACATAGTGGAATTTTAATTACCTTGTCCTTGTTGCTGCCCTTGTGCGGGCAGGACACACTGTCCCAGCTCACCATTCAACCAGAGCTGCATACGAATAAATGGTTCTCGGCCTTTTTGGGTCAATTTACTCCATGGCTTTGGCCTGGAGAGCATGTCACTGACACTTCCTTGGGACAGCCCCAATACCTGAAGTGAAGCAACCAAGAACGGCACGTTAACACACTGGAAGTGGAAAGGGGGTAATTTAAGTCACTTTGGGTTCCTTTTACTGCATCGCTCAAATTGGGTTCGTGTGGACAATTAGAAAAACTGCAAAAATGACATCTGGAGATACTCAGATGGAAATGCCTTTTTTTTTTTTTTTTCCCCTGCCGTGTTTCCTTCTGGAAGGTGGGTTTTTTCCTGCAGGATCAGGACAGCAGCAGGCTGGTGCGGGATTTGCATGCTTTTCATATTTCGTGTCAGATAGTTTCATCAGCTTTAACAGGAAAAACACCGAGTCCAGACACACACAGGCAGATGAAACAGGCAATGATTGGCACGTATTTTGTTCTCAAACAAAAATAATTGGGACTTTTGAGACTAGGCCTATATTTGGTTGATTTTTGGGGTATGAATTATAACGATGTGTGTTTTCACCTGTAGCAGCGGCTGCTCCATGTAAGTAAATATTTAAGAACACAGCCGACTGCAGTGGAGGGGGGATTTCAGACAGGCAGAATGCAATTACTTGCCTGGAATTCAGCACAGGTAGAGGAGTTAAAAATCATACTTAATGAAAACTGCCACGGGATCTTTAATGACCCCGAGAGGTCAGGCTTTTCATTTTACATCTTAGTGCGGAGGTAACAGTGCGATGCCAGCTCCTATAATACCATTACATTGATTCAATTCTTTACAGGAAGAAGAAACAGCAAATGTCCAACAGTTCTTACAGCCTGGGAGGGGTTTTCTGGTGGTCAGGGACCCTCAAAATCCCACGTGCTCAAGGCTTAGGGCCCACAGCGTGAGAACTTCAGGGAGCCTTATCAGGCCTCGTGTATCTGTAATCAAACATTGCTCAAAAGGGCCTCAGAGCACACTGAGATACCAGGCACCAGGTATAAGAAATGTGAATTCCTGACTTCAGGCTAAGAAAAGGTAGGGGATTTTCCATGTGTTTGTTTAAATACCCCTGTGCACATTTCCAAATAATAAAAAAAAAAAAAAAAAAAAAAAAAAAAAAAGGAAAAATGCTCTTGTGTCTATAAACTTCACTCATAACAAATTTAAGACTCTCCAGTCATGACAATGGTATTGCTCAAGTATTCCATGAATTCATTACATTAAGCATGAAGTACTGAGCCTCAATAATGTTTGCTTCAGCTTTCAAGGTTTCTAAACTCGGGGCCCTGTTTCTAATTCCAAGTGGCTGAAGCCAACCTCTGCACAAAACCCTCTGCAATTCCCAAACACAGGGAAACTAATGCTTTCCTTTGGGAGCTCATTTTAAACACGTAACACACGAAGCAAAAACATTTTTCCGTCAGACACACGTGGCACATCCCCCTCCGTTAAACGGGGCTCGGCACACACGTAAGGAGCAGAAGGCACATTGACAACACAAGAGAGAACCACTTGTTTACCTTTTCCCCAAAGATCCTTTGGCAGATGCCATTCTTTGCTAGCTTTTCCTTGACCTGCCGCGTTAGCTCTATCGTATCCACCTCCTGGTACATATAAATCTCATACTGCTCGGGTGTCAGTGGAGGAACCGAAGGTTTGGATGGCTTGGACAAGGACACGATAGGGGATGAAGGGAGGGGGCTATTTTGTGGTGTCTCACTGCGACTCGCCCCAGTCATGCTCAATTCAGAACTCTGGGAGTACGGAGATTCCGCGTTTGGCCACTCTTTCCAATACTCGGAAGAAGACGGTCCTTGGAGCTGGCTACGATCTGGCCTAGTCTGATTGCTGACCTTTTCTTTTCCACCACTGGCTTCCTCAACTTTTATATCTTCGGGAAGAGCTGCATTTCTTCTCTCATGCTGCACAGTATTCCACCAATGGTCCTTCCAAACACCACCACGTCCCAACTCATTTTTAACATGCCTCAACATACCCTGGGCGGAATCACTTATTCCGTGAAGCTCTAAAACAGGTGCCTCCTGAGGCTCCTTTTTGAGCCCAGAGAGGTTCTGCAATGCAGAGATACTGGAATCAGTGACAGATGAATGTTTCTTCAGGGATATGGCCAAAGGAGAATAGCTGGAAACCGAAGACATTGCAGGTGTAGACACTAGTTTGGGGGACAGGATAGAAATGTCAGCTTGAGATAAAGGTGGTGTTTTTAAGGCAGGTTCAAGGGCAGCCTGCTGTGCCTCCATTTCCCGTCGGGCTTGTTGCAGAATGGATCGAATAGCATCATCAGAATTGCCACTGCTAGAGGCAGAAGGCGGCTGAGCCGGCTCAGCTATGAAAAACAACCAAAAGACTAAATGCAACACAGGAATATGCTTTATATTCAACACGTGCTACTGTAAACAGTTCCCTGACAGACAGAAAAAAAAAAAAAAAAAAAAAGAAAGGGCTGAAATACATTTCTGGATGGGAGGGAGGAGTTTTCACTAAGCAAAGATTTGCACTTTTCAAAATAAGGTAAGATTTCCAAAGTCCTTCACTGGAAAATTTTGATAGTTGCCAAAGTGCTGGATGTTTGCACACACAGACTCAGCTGCACAAGTCTGGGATCACTTGCACTTCCACCATTGTAAAAATTTTCAAATAAATGCCTTTGAAAATCAAGCCTTCACCTCTTCCTCCCCCACCCCCAAGTGGTCAATAACATTTTATGGTTGTATTTATAGAGTTATTTAACCTTTCACTTCTCTCTTTCTCCACAAATGAATCTAACACACACACAGAACTGAACACAGCTGCATTCACCTGGACAGACTATTAATACTCTCTCACAGTATAAATAAGGTGAGTCCTTTTAACTCCACAAACATAACACACAAATTACAACAAAGCCAGAACTTTAGGAAGAGATCATCATCATCTCATTTGACAAGCTAAATATGCTCCTGCTTCCTGTTTTCTTGTTCCATGGTCTCAGCCACTGAAACAAACAGCTCTACCAAAGCCAGGCTGACACCTGGTCATCACCCCCTGCCTTCTCCGAAGCTCTGGGATGGAGCCACGGGTGCTTTCAGCAGAGACAGCCCCCAAATGCAGTATTCCAGTGGGGAACCAGGATTTGGGTGGCTGTGCTGTAGCAGTTGGGGATGAGCAGAGACTGGAACGTGGGTGGGGAATTATCTCTGCAGAGCCAGGAGGTTTTTGCAATGGCATCTGCTTCTATTTAAGGCCGTCTCCACTGAGGTCCCCAGTGCTTGAAAACCAATTCCTCTGAAAGCTACTCTACAGAGAACAGGGAAAGTGAAGCACCAGGTAGGAGCAGGGAACCCTCACACTGCAAGTGGCCTGAAAGTGAAATAAGATTTGAAACATGCCGTGTATTACTCTGGTAATATTATTATGCCTCATCTGAATCCATTTCTGAATTTGCCTCCCTACATTCCTTCCTGTCACGCATTATAAAATACATGAAAAGCTAAAAAATGGGGAAAAAAAGACAGTGAGACTCTCTCTTCTGTTTTATCTGCTGGTTTCATAGGGAGTTTTGAGGCTGAATTAATATTTGAAAGGAAGTCTCGAGGTTCTCAGATGAAACGTGTTACTGAATAACGTGCTTGCAGTTTCCTGCACACAACCCATATTTTTCTCTATGCAATAATTTCTTGTATAAGGTCGTATTATTTAGGTCATACATAACTAGTCTTTTATATTATGCCATGAGATTAACTTAGTTTTCAAAGAAAAGACTAATATCCCAAACTGTAAATCAGTATTTACTTTAAAAAACAAAACATAAGTATTGCACAGTAATTTCCACTTCAGCCCATTAGCAGTATTAGGAACTCTTTTAAAGCTGGGAGGGCTAGGGAACAGAAGAAATGTTAATTACATGACAGCATACAATGAGAAATTAAACTTTTCTCAGGATAAGACGTTAAACTATGGATTTTTTGGGAAATGATTTCCCAGTTCATTCACTGAATACATTCTGTAACCAAAAATAAAGTCATCTAACAGTCAGAACTGAGTTTGCCTATATAATAATCTGGGTACAGGATGTACAGTGGTGCTGTGTGACTGGTAATTGCTGTCTAGAGTGTGACCTTCACCCCAACAAATCCATCAGTTCCCTCTCCCAGCAGTTCTGTCCCTGGGGCCTGAGTCAGAGAGAAAAGAGAAAGCAGAAGCCATTTCCTTTCCAAGGAGCAAACTGGGAGAGGAAAGGGTTCTGTGGGTGCCCCTGCAGGTCTGGAGGGCTGCAAAGAAAGCAGAGCTCTGCACAGGGATAAAGGGGTTCAGAAATCCCACAGTGTCACTCCCTTGGGAGCAGAGCAGAGACCCCAAAACGTGACACGTGTGACCTTAACTTGGGATGTCTTAGACACAGAAACAACTCCACTAAATAATAACAAAACCCCTCAAGAAAGCTCTTCAAACCTACACTGACGGTTTTAAGGATATAATTAACTGACCAAAAAGCTCATGGCAATTGTTTTAATTAAATTCTGAGATCGAAGGAGCCAGAGACAAAACGAGGCCGTACCTGTTTTCTGTACTTGCAGCTCCCTTTTGGCTTGTTCGAGGATGGATTTGATGGCTTCATCAGAGCCAGACTCTGTGGTTCGGATTCTTGTGGTTATATTACCTGGAGAGGAAAACAGAACTAATGACACCAGGAAAACTTTTATCTGGTTGTTTTTGTAACACAAAGACACACTGGATATACTGATACCACGGCCAGCATGACCTGAGGACAGCTTACACAGGGCCTTTACCAACATTTACAACACCAAAAATACTTAATAAAAGAAAAACATCCTTTCTGTGCCTGCCTCTAGCTGCCCTGGAATGGTGAGAACATCAGAGCAAGAACTAGCTGTTCATATATTCCTTTTCTATGGCAACATATATAGATCTATTCTCTTTCCTTTTCTTTTTTTTTTCTTTTTTTTTTTGGAGGGGGAGAGGAAACGGAAGGGAAAAGAAGGGAAAGGAAGAAAGCTAAAAAACATAAGCCCAAGAATCAACTTAAAAATGGCATCAGCTGCTAGGCAAAGTAAGATGAGTATACATTCCGCACAAAACAGAATTAAAAAGTAACTAGATAAAACTAATTTTTAACTTTCTAGAGGTTAATACATGAAGAGAAAGAGTCATTTAAACACAGATACCATTTGAAGTACTCTCCAGGTAAAGAGCTGAGTGTTTGCTTTTGCTTTGTTTTGTTTTTTTTCTTTTTTAACCTCTAAGGGGAAGAAAAGGAGGGAAAACCATGAATGCTACTGCACTTAACTGCACTTTTCATTATGAGATTATTGTTTGTAAGTGAGCTAGATAATTTCTGACTGCAGTCAAAATAACTACAGAGTTCTGGGGTCCCTGCTTTAGTTTTTTCTTCTTCCTCATCTTACTAAAAGACAAATTCTGCAACCTAATCTGTAACGAAGAAAAATGTTCAGACTTCCTGTTCAGTGATAATATATCAATCTGATGTTCACTTATCTTGTCTTTCTCATATACAATACTGAACTAAGCATCACACTAATTTAACAGTGTAATAAAGTGGAATTTGTCAGCATAAGCCCCATGAGAAGAAAGAAGTAAATTTAGAGCAGAAGCAGTATGTGATTGTTGGTGTAACTGTGCAACTTTCTCCCTCCAAAATCACAAGAACAGCAAATAGATCTGGTGATTTTATAAAGCCACTTCTATCACTTATCTCTTTTTATCTGCAAATGCAGGGAGGATGGGAGTGGAAAAACTGTCCAAACAGGGTTACGTTAGTACAGCAGCAGCAGAATTAGAAAAAGCAGAGTGTTCATCTAACCCATGGTTTGTTTTATACTTACTGTCTGTTTTTCTATCAGATTCCAGGCCAGAATCAAACTGCACAGTTTTAAGGAAACACACAGCTAAAGCACACTCCACTTCCTAGGGATGGACTGCAAAGAAAAACACCTGCCTGTGACGTACCTTCAGACCCATTTCTTCGTTTCGGTACTTCCTGAAATAGTCTGTTCAGGTTCTGGCCTGGATTCTCTGTTGAAAAACAAGTTTGGTAAGAACAAAACAATCAGGGGATGGTTGCTCTGACATCACGGGCTGTGACATGAGGAGCTGGCAGCCTGTCCCTGAGCTCTCCTGGCCCCTCGGGGCCCTGCCTGAGCCGGAGGAACTGGCTACTTGGGAAGAAGCAAGGCTGGCTGATTTGTTAATAAAGATTACAGCTATGTTCGGAAAGGAGATTAGACAGATATAAATAAATGTCTAGAGATACCAAAAATGAAGAGGTTAAAGATGGGCAGATAATCCCCTCAAGTACAATCATCAAAAGGAAGAACAGATTATAAATCTAACAGTGTGTGCTTCCAATTAAACAAAATCTAGGAAAACCCTGCCTGTCCTTTCCAATATTTCTTGACTGTAAACAACTTACTTTTCAGTTTCTCTAAATGTAAATCTCAGTCTTAAGATGAATCACAATGAAATGCATGTTACCTCTTAAAATCGCTGCCTTAAATATGCAAAGCTGCTTTAAACTGGGATTGTGTTTTAATTACTCATCTCATGCATCACCTACCCTATTTTGTCACAACACTTTGGGGAAAAAGAACATAATCACACAAGACACAACAAAAGCCTGGTCTCAGTAAACAACCCCAAATAAAAATTTGCAATTATTTCTGAGGGCTGATACCCCGAGTAGCTGCTGACCCTTTTCACTCGGGATTTAGCTCTGACACGGAGCTCTTGGGAAGTGAGGGATGTGAGTGCCCCTGCTGCTTGCTCCTGCTGACAGGCACAAGCCAGCATCTAAAAAAAGCATAAGCAAAGATACTAACCTGCTCGAGCGCTGCAAAGCTGAACTTTCTGCACCTGACACCTGATTTGGGTGAGAACGGCAGCAACGCGCAAACCGCCCCACGGGGGGAAGCTTCCGATTGGTACCGTTTGGAACTAAGAGGAGGACGGGGCGAGACCCTGGGCAGGAGAGCACTTACCTCTTTGTCTACCCTGGATGCTGCGCAGAGCCAAGATGTTCTGCTCGTCCGAGAGGAACTGCTTCATCTTATGAAATGGCTCCTTGCCTCTCACAGTCAGTTTATTCCATGGCTTTGGCCGGGCCAGGATCTCGCTCACAGACCCTTGCGACAGTCCCAACACATAATGTCCAAATATCCGCTGTCCAATATTGTGCTTGATCAACTGCTCTTTCACCTGACGTGCAATTTCGGCCGTGTCTATCTCCTCGCCTTCAGAGATGCTCCCAGCACTTTCTGACTGGCTGGGAGACGGGGCCATGCCATTTACATCCGGGCTTTGTTGTAATGGACTTTGGGAAGATATGGAGTTTGTGCTGTATGGACCTGTTGGAAAAATCATGCTTGTGCTTCCTGCTTCCTGCATTGCCTTGGAGTAGAAGGACTGCATTAGCTGTCGCTGGAGGAGAGAGTTTAGTGCAAATTTTCCTGTGGAGGCCAGGGGTAAGCTGGGGCTCGCCAGGGATGAGCTGAAAAAGTCTTGACTTAAACCCGTTGGTGAGAACTGGTGTGTACCATTAGTATTGGAAGCCTGCTCCCCCGCGTTGCGGAGCAACTGGGAAGGAGGGGAGGCCGGCAAGGTTGCAGGACGCTGACTCTCAGGCTGGTCTTTCCCTTTTCTCCTGGCTGACCCTACAAGGAAGGTCAAACATAATGCATTATGGGGGGTCAAAGAGGGAAAAACCAAGATAAAAAAATGCAAAGTTTGCCCCGCAAAGGGAAAAAAAAAAGTGCAGATTGACACGGGCCAATGAAGTGGCGGTGGGAGTTTTGGTTTTGTTTGGTTTTGGTTTGTTTTTATTTGGTTTTGTGGTTTTTTTTTTTGTTTTTGTTTTTTCATAATTGAAGTTTTTTAAGCCAAACAAGGCCCCCAAAACAAACAACATGCATTTCATGTTTGCACCTTTCTTGTATGTTGCAGCCTGGAGAATCCCCCTTACAGACATTAACACTAGAACAGTTACATGAAGTGCAGTTATACAGTTAAATAAATGCAGTTACAGACAGCAAGTCTCTCTGTTGTCTCTCATTCAAGACATGACTCATTGGACCTGACTGAACCCAAATGCAGCAAACATTTACATTTTGGAACAAACCAATTTGAATAAAGGAATCACCATTAGGTGGATGCACCAAGATCACTCAGTTAAAAGTCATAAAACACTTCAGAATTCAGTAATCCCAGGGCCAGTGGCAACTTTTAACTTTCTTCCAGCTGCAAAAACCATAAGCATTCGAGTATCTGGAAATTCCATGACTTGCCATTTAAAAAATGTGCACACAAGATGTAAAAGCCCACATTAGGAAAGCGGAACGGCAAACACACTTCGCCAAAAAGAAAGGATTTTGTTTTCCCAAGCTGACCTGCTGGTGGCACATCCAAGTGTATCAGACAGGGAGGTTATGTTCTACATGCAAACACTGTGCATAACACTGGGGGGGGAGGGAGGGGAAGAGACTTGTGGTGCCACAGATTTGTTCCCAAAACAGACAACAGCCTCAAACGCTACCACTGGGTACAGCCTGTAATGCCTCTTCCTCAACCTTTATAGACTCTCTGAGCTCTCCAAGTTTTACTTTATTATCCAGCCTATAAAACTACAGAAATCCAGCGTTATTCAGTGTTCCTGTTGCTTCTTAATCCTCCTGCCATGCATTAGCTCAGACACTCAGCTCTCACTCAGCCCTCCCACCCCATCACAAGACAGCAAGTGAACCAGAACAGCCAAAAATCGTGTCAACCTACCGCTCAGGTCGCTGTTGGTGATGCGCAGCGTGGCGTTCTCCGACTGCAGCGAGCGGTTCTTCTCCAGCAGCAGCACCTCCAGCGGTTTGGATGCATCCTAAAGAGAACCAGAGTGGGAGGTTTTGTTTCTAAAAGCATTGAGAGGCTCACTCAGGCACTAAAAAGGATTTCAGAAGTAAAATAAAAAAAAAAAAACCACGAGTGCTCGACTCCTCTCTGGACGCAGGGAGGGAGTTCACTGGGTGTGGATTTGCGGGAATCACTCCGGGCTCCCGACATGAGCCGTGGAAGAGATTCACTGTTTAATTTCCATTGTAAATCATTCATCAATTCTGCATTATTTTGAGATGTGTAACGGAACATTTTCTTAATCCTACTTATTTTTAAATGGTCCTGGCACACTTTCAGTTTAAAAGCTGTAGACTTCTTTTAATCTGATTAAAACAGGAGTTAAGATTATATTATTCCTTCTAGGTCAACTGACCCAAGTTAAGCATTTCCTTGACATGCTGCATTTCAGCAGAAACAGTTGGTTCAAAAATAAAACCAGCCACAGAAACCTGCTATTTACCTTCCCCTCAATATCTAACCCTTGATCATTAAAAAACTCATAGAAAATTAACCCCAGGATATCGATATTCAGTTCAGATTTCAGAAGCAGGACTTTAATTCACAACCTTTAAACTTAAGTAAGATTAATTTGCTGGAATGTCAGAGCTTTCTCAGTACTCAAAGGTTTGTTTTCTTTTGTGAACATTATTTTCAAGGCTAATAAATACTTTAAAATGCCAAAGTCCTTGCTCAGCGTACTGCCTGTACACTGCCTCTAGTATCTTTAAATGACTCAACTTCACAACATTTTGGTTATTCACTCCAGCACAGCTGAAATATCACTTTGTCCTTGCCCACTTAAAAGAAATTAACAGGCAAAAAATGTTCAGTTCAGCTTTTTACAGAAGAAAACATCAGGAAAAACAATGATCGACCCATATGTCTCAACATCAACAGGAAACTGTCGATGCCAACGCCAAGGAATTGCAAGACATAATTTTTGTTAATTAACTGAATCGCTGAAGTAAGTAAGACAACAAAAGTAGGTTCAGTACCTGCCCACCAGAGCTTTCAGATGGTGCAAACTCCATGGATTTCAATATACTGTGGAAGGCAGGAAAAAAAAAATTATTTTCTATTTCTCCTTTCCATAACGACTCCACTAATGAGCATTAACATTATCGTTTCCTGTTCTCCAGCAACACTACAAGTGGTAACAACTTTCCTTGCAGTAACACAATCTCATAATGAATACAGAATAACTATTCAAACTAGTTATTGGATAAGAAAATTTTCTCAAGCGTCATCTAAATCATTCCATATGCAATCCCACAAGGCCAGTTTAAAGCGTAAATTTAAAGGTTAATAAGGATATAACATTTTAAGCTGTCAGAAGTGATATAAATTTATCTGTGAAGCTGGGAGGGAATGAAGAAGTCGTAGCAAAGCAACAAAACAGGGGAATCACCACCACAGTACAGCACTTTATATAATATACACCAGCTCACCAGCAAGGAAAATATGCACAAATAATCTTCCCCACCAAGACACTACAGGGTAAAAGGCAGTTTTTCATTTTAATAACCTCCTCGTTCTATGGCAATGGGAAGACAAAATGGCACAATATTTCTTAAGAAATATGAAAGATCCAAATATTTATAAGTACATTAGGAGAAGAATCTGATAGTCTCATTGTCAATATTTTATATAAATACTGAGCGGTCAAAGGATGTCTCCCTTCAAAGGCTTTCAGTTAGAGTTGTCTCATCTGGCAAACCAGAATCTTACAGGAATCCAAACTTATTACTGTGCTTTGTCATATAAATTTTTTTAAATCAGCCTGCTGCAGGCAGGACATGAACTTCCTCAGACTGAAGCAATAAATGATTTCGGCTTCTTATTGTACAAAGACAACATTCATTTGGTGAAGAAAAACACATAAACAGATATAGATAGTGTTTATATAGCATTTTTCATGTATAAAGCACCAGGAACTTTGTGAGGCAATGAGAATCAGTTTATTAATGTATCAAACTGTATTAAAAGTTGTGGATCATGTACCAAAATAGGATGGTCCAAACCTGGAAGTGTTCAAGGCCAGGTTGGATGGGGTTTGGGCAACCTGGTCTAGTGCAAGGTGTCACTGCCCATGGCAGGGGGTGGAACAGGATGGGCTTTAAGGTCCTTTCCAACCCAAACCATTCTGTGGTTCTATAGAATGTGGAAACTGAGTCAAAAAAAGGCAGAGGGACAGTATTAAGACACAGGGACTTGTTCTGGATACCACGAGGAGTCCACCAGGCACCCATTAACTGCCTCAGACCACGTGGTGTCCAGCTCCTCTATGAACCTGTCCCTGCATTAATCCAGAGTCAGATATGCATTAAGTGACACTCTGGAAATCAGTGGTCTCTGAGTCATTCAAGGTCACTCAAAGTCATAGCAAATCCAAGGAAAAAAGGTCACTCTGAGACAGAAACCTGATGCATTTTGCATCTGTGCATACTCACTGCATACAGTGTTAATGCTGACAGGCATTCCTAAAATACAATGATTAATAGAATCATTTCTATTAATTTCTGGTAATGACTTTCATGACATGGGCAGCATTGGATGACACATCTTGCCAGCAGAAACGGCTGTAGGGTAGGGCCATCATCCTATACATGGCACATAAAGCAATGTTGTTAAGACTCTATGAGGGCACAGTAGCTCACCCATGTGCAAAGGGGCTTCTTTTCTGCTATCAGTGGACTTGTGCCAGTCAAAGAGAGAGATTGTGCATTAATGGCTCGAGTTCTTAGAGAGCCTGACATTATATTGACAACACAGACGTGTTTATTCAGGTTGCAAATCACTGCTGAAAGCCAGTGTTTCTCAGGACACCCCTTCAGGGGCACAGCTCTGTCTCCCGGGACTCCAAGGTGCCAGGGGAGATAAAAGCCCAGAGACTCATGCAAGGAAAACCCCAGTCACTGGCAAATCACTGTTTCCATCCTCCCAGGGCTTCTGCAGGGGATGGCCTCTGCAAGGACAGCAAATCATAATGCACAGTCCTCATGACGGTCAAATGAGGAGACTCATCTGAATTTAAAAGAATCCCAATTTGTAACAGCAAATTATCATGTGGCAAACTTCCCAAGGCAATTCCCAGGCGCTTCTCCCACTTCAGGTCAGACCAGCAGCACTTGTGACACGGCTCTCCCAGTGAGCCCCACTTACCACACTTGGTTTGCCATTCGGAGTAGTCCAGCAGCATCCCAACCACCTTCCTCCTGGATGAGGCTAAACCAAAAGAAGCTGCTCGCTCCCCAAGGAGCAGGTAGGGGACAGTGTGCAGCCTCCAGAACCAGGCTGACAGTGGCAGGAAGTGCAAAGTAACCCTCAACCTATTTAGGGTGTACATTTGGTTCTCCACACCAAAAGCCTGGCTCTGAAGCCCTGATCCTGCCATTCCTCTCCCTGCACAGGCTGCTCGACTGATGCATTTTGGTTCTGAGCACCTTTAGGAAGGATCCTGATCCTTGCAGCACCTGCATTTCCAGTGAGCTTGGAGCAGGCACTTGGCTGGAAACTTACTGACCTCTGCCTACCTAAAGTGGATTCCTTGCGACCTCAATTAGATTTCTGGCAATTTCACAGGTAATTTCCTATATACTTACAACCCAAAATATACTAAAAATCAAGCTGATGGCACCTCCAACTGTCCTAAGAGGATTATTCACTCCAGTAGATTTTTATTTTTTTTTTTTTCCAAAAAATATGAAAGTTAAACATGTCAAAAATTACTCTTCAAAATGTGTCACAAAAGAGACGTTTTCCTCAGAAATATGAGGAAGCAAAATGTTTCCTCTTTGGATTCCAGGAATATCTTTGCCCATGAGATCTCGACTCAATCTGTGGCTCAAGATCAGTTACCTGCTCTTTAAAGGAATGATCTTGTGACTTGAATCTGCACATCTAAGATGACTTGAAAGATCTTAGTGCAAAGCAAAGTGTGCATTGGGACAGCTCGACTTTCTGTTCGTCTGATCCCGACTGCAAAGGCAGGAGGGTCAGCGCTGTCGTGTTACTCCAGAGGGAACTGAAAGGACACACAGAGCTCTCAGATCTCAAAAATAGGTTTAAAAGCCACTGGGCACAAAAGCCAAGGCAGAAAGTGAAGAATCCTCCCATCCCAGATCTTGACATGGGCCCAAGCTGAGTCCCCCCAAGGTTAGATGTTGACTGATATTGAGAACCCTCAGCCTAAAATACCTCTAATATCCTGAGGAGGATTAAGGAAAATACATCAGTGCCAAAAAAACCCTGAGAAATATATTCTCTTTCTGACTTACTGACAAGATATCTTTTTTTTCTTGGTGCAGATGTTATAAGCAGTTCATTTTTGTAAGTGTTTCAGGGCACAGGACAGGTGTGGCAGGATTCAGTGTGAGGGATTCTGATTTACAGCAAAAGACTTTTCACAGTCATTTCCAGCAACAGCCTCACTTCAGATCAGACTGTTGCTGCCAGGTGATGCACATTTAGCCTTTAGCACATCCTTGGGATTAGATGGGAACAGAGGGGGTGGTGTCAATGAGCTGCTTGGGGGATGCAGCATTGCAAATATCTTCAGTGCTCTCATGGAGGGTCTTAACCCCCTGCACCATCCTGCAGGAAGGTGTATGGACCCCAGGTCACTTCCAAGCTATCTGGCAGATTAGGGGATATAAAAGCTGTAACAGCTGGGAGAACAGGGTTAATTTACTGGCACCCAACCAGGGCCACCCAGGGGATTCTCCCATCTATTTCACTGCAGGCTCATCCTGAGCAGAAACACTATATGAACCCTCCTGTGTGACAACTTCTTCCCATTCCTGCCCTCATGTGAGTCAGTGTTGTAAAAAATAAAGTTAATTTTAAAAAAAAGGCAATACTGCAAGGAACACAGGGTTTTTATCTAAAGTACAAATGCAAAGTAAACCTAAATGTATTTGGTATGTACATTGGGTTCCTGGCATCAGAAGTCTGGCTTTAAAGCCCCAGTCCTGTTGTATCCCACCCACATTGCATTAAACCAGGTAGGGTTCAAAACCCATTTGCTGTCTCAGCACATTTACATTTGGTATCTCATCTAGCAAATTGGAAGGTTGTGGCCTAATTCCCATTCACTCTTTTACGGATGAGGGCATAAACTGGCTGAAATCTGAAGCTGTTTCCTTAACTCAGGAGAGAACACGGACATATTTACCCCATCACTAAAACCATGACTTTTTTTAAGACCAGTTAATAATCAGGAATAATGACCAAAGAAGTGGCCAATTCCCTTAATTTAAGTGAAACTATATACCCACTGTGAACCAGAACCACAGCCAGCGTGGCTTGAATATATCAGCACCAGGGGCTGGGCAAGTTGTGGGGCTTGCAAATCCAAAGCTGCTTTCCATATTCTCCAGGGATGTGTAAACAAAAGCACATGACTACCAGCCTCATCTGAAATACCTCATTAAACAAGGTAACGGGTTATTTCAGTCTTCTTAAAGCACACACAAAAATGCCAGAATGATGAAAGAAGAGATGGGACTTTCTCGCAGTTATTTAAACCTTGACACTAAACATATTTCCAGTCAAAAAAGTTCTCTTCTGAACCTGACAGCTTATCTTGTTATAGTTGAAAATGAGGCTCTTTTAAGTCTCTTAAGAAAATCCCTTGAAATAGGAAGAGGCTGTTTGTGGCTTTAGTTTAAAACCACAATATATTAGCAAAAATATACAGTGAGACAAGCCCAGCACTGATCTGGTAAGTGCTGAACATTGGCTGCCAGAAGCAGAGAAAAGGTATCATAACCAAAGGCTCTGCATTAAATTTTTGGTCCACATCACACACAGCTGTTGGCTGGGGATTTTTAGGGTGGTCAGCCTAAAATACCACAGACTTTCAAACTTTTTTCCCTTTGTGGGCAATAGTTTCAGTGGCTTTTCTTCACGGACATGTGTATTATTTGCTATTGAGATCCTCTGCTGCAACAAGAAGCACCCTCAGATACAGCAGTTCCACTGGTTCTGGATGCAATTTCTGCCAATATTCCCGAATTCCCCGTTATTGTGGTTTTGACTGAATTCTTTATTGTTCCAAGAACACAGATTTGTGGCTTCATTTAACAAGCACTGTTAGTGTTTGTGAAAAAATTATGTAAGCATTTAACACTTACTTTAATTCTTTCTTAACCTCTTCATAATCAGCCTGTCCTTTCAGTTTTTCTTCCAGTTGCTTTAAAAAGAAAGAAGATGGATTTAATTATTTAGATTGTTTTTTTTTCTTTTCTGCAGGCTTTCAAAATCATCTTCAAATTATTCCATATATACAGCAGCGCGCACAAGTGAGGGTTAATGACTCATACCTAATTTACATATATTAGAAAACAAACTATAACCAATTAAACGTAAACACAATTATACCTCGCTCATCCTTTGTTTACAGAGTGCCAAGCGTGACAGAATTCAGTGGGTCCCAATTTGGCTGTTTGCAACGTCACTGTCGTGTGCTCAATAAAGAGATCAGGGGAAGGAAGGTATCAAAAAAATGGGGCAGCCGGAATTTTTCAGGGAACTGGGAAATTGAGTAAACAAGCAGGATGCTTTGGCACACACAGTGCTCTTAATAGGACAGTTCTTGATAACCTTATCTACATGATAAAAAGAACAGACTGAAGAAGCTGTTGTTGACTGGGACGCCTTAGGCTTGTAAAGCTTCTACAATGCCTCGTGCCCAAACACAACAGCTGTACCAGGTCGTTTTACAAGCATTACTTATTGCAATAACTAATGTGATTACACACACTGGAGATGGAGCACTGAGACCAGCCCAGCAGGTCGTTTTGCTCAGGGTCTACCTGACGCCGGGCGGTCTCAAAGGCTCCTCTGCGGTGTGAGGATGCCACAAACGTTGAAACAAACCCCCTGACACAATCCAGAACGCAATGCCACACACTTGGACCTTACCCAGCTCCCAACAACAGTGCTCATCACTACAGGATAAATGCTTCAGGAGGCCTAAAACATAGTGATACATAATTGATGCCGTTACGTTGCTTGCAGAAGCCACATTAATTTCCCACTAATAATTTCTTTGCTTAGCGCAGACACACCTGATCTAAGCAAAGAACAGAATTTACTGGCTTGCAACTTCCATGGATAAGTTCAGACTAGCTCTGTTCCACTATATTTTTGGTGTTAAAATTGTCACAGAATCCCAAAGGTCACGGGAAACAGAAATAACGCAAGGACGCCTCACCTCAAAGACAGAGCGTCTGCTTTGAAAAGGAAAGGAGTACATGACATGAAAAAGAAAAATAGGGCTTTGTGTCCAGGAGAGGCTGCCTTCAGGGGAGAAGGGAATTCAAGATCCTACACCCACTCTGGGGCTGCTTCTTGACTGCAGGAGGGCAGGGGAGGGTTATTGGGAACTCGGATAATTTTAGCAAACCCGTTTCAAATGCAGCCCCACAAAGTTGTGCAGCAGCACAGCTACGGGTGTGTGGAGGCAGGGCTGGCACAGGCCAACAAATAGAACTGGGAACCTGTTCCCTGTGCTGCCTTCCCCAGTAAGTCGGTGTGTGGGTATCACCCATCTCAACCTGTCCAATTTAAACGAGGGTTCTCCACATGATAGCAGCGTGGTGGGGCTTTGTGGGATATTCCACCTTTTAAAGGATTTTCTTCCCAGCCCTGTCCAGCTCACACACTGTTGACATTTCTGCCTTGCCATCAGCACGGATATTAAAGAGCAGTGACAAAGTGGACATCCACGTTATCAATACACAGCCCTCTTCAATTCCTGTTCCTGCTGTTTGATGCCATAATCCACCATCCTCAGTCACTGCCGACAAGAGGCACCTCCCGGCAGGAATACACGGGCCCTGCTCTGGCAGCTGCTCAACAAGCAGCTCTTAATGGATCACCACCACTGCTCGTCACAGGGATGCAGGAACTGCTGCTCAGTGTGGAATTTGCACTCTATGGGACACTGATGAAACGAGTGGCCTCTTAAAAAGGTCTCGTGTGCCAGTATCCTCAGCCAGCAGTGACTTGCGCAGTCATTCCCATTGTGTTAAAAAGAAAAAAAAAGTCTGTTTTAGCTAAAACAATATTTTCCACCTGGAATATATATGTAAGACGAGTTTAAGTAATTTCTTCTGACACATCCTGACTTACCACTGACTCTCCTTTAGAGAGCAGACACAGTGCTACAGGTGTTTGGGCCCTATACTTGACGTAATGAGGAAAATCCTGGTTGATGTGACCAGGAAAATCCCATAAATATTAAGGATGTTGGAGGTTTTGATAACCTCCAACATGTGTTGAAATGTCACTGTGGGAATGTACTATTTAGTCCCAGAGCCTGAGGTGCCACATCAGTTCTCTGATTTTTAAGGAGGACCAGCTACAATGTGCCACGAGTTCGAGCAGCTCGAGCTACAGCTCGATGCTGAGCCAGAGTTACTTTAACAAGGAATCCAAACAGAATTTTTAATGCACCAGATCAGGCTGGAGAGGGATCTTTAAATGAAACCAGGGAGCCCTTGGTACTGGGAGGAGACTCAGCATCACCACTGAGAGCTTCCAAACTGGATGCAGGGAATGGGAGGAGCGGCCAAACACCCCATGACATCCTTCTGCTCTCCTCGGTCATGTCACTTTGCCACCTGCTTCTAACTCTGTTTGGTGCTTTACAGCACAGACACACCACAATTCACCTCTTCCTTAACTCTGTGGCTCATAACATTTTGGGTCTACAGCAGAGGAGCTTTTACAGCAGGGATAACTGGTTATTTATAGTAGTCCTTGGAACAAAAAGTACCAGAATAGATTTAAAACAAACAATATCCTGGATTAACATGTTAGTTACTTATGCAAGGATATGCTAAGAAAACAGCCTTTTGTAGAGACAGACATAAACCACTGAAAAGCTAATGATTCCCATTTTAATGCAATCTATATTAAATGTAATTCTGTGCAGGGATAAGCTATACCCTGATAAAGTAAAATTTAGGTACAAAACACAGGTAGAAAAATAAAGAAAAAAATAGATATCGACAGAATGAAGCTGTTTTGGACTCTCATGCTGCTATAGCAGTATGGCAACCAGCAATATTTTACTTTGAATTGTATTAAAAAACATATATATCCATCATTCCCAAGGATCTAATAGAGAGATTGTTGCCATGGAAAATCTGCACCTAAATGTTTACTTCACTAAACAATATAAACTAACAACTGAGGATGCAGTGCCTGTGTATAAGCAGACCATTTAGGCACTTGGCATCTTCCCAGTCAATGACTGTTTTAAAATGTATTAGTATGGTAATTGTCTCAAAGAACCCTGTAAAATGCACAGAACACCGGATAACAAAGGTTCAAGCTGTGAGACAATCTGGAGGAACTAATATCTTACACTAAATATCAACCTGGTTAATTCAGACAAAATATATTCTAACGACCTCCAACACAGGAAAATGCAGGAGCCAGAGGGCAGAAAGGATGAACTGGTGGCATTTCTGCATGTTAAATTTGCAAATATTCCATGTTAAAGACGTCTTGCATTTGTGTTATGAATGAACCCATGTCAGAGTATGCATAGATTGGGTCCTCTCTTATGTTATTTCAAAAATACAATCTTTACTGTCTTTTTAACCTAAGTGTCATAGGTAAAGAGCAGGGGCTGTGTTAAGGGCTTAAAACATTTAAAAAATCATTAGACTAATGCTGTAGTTTAGTTTCGAGTGATAAACTAACAAGCCCACATTTAATTAACCTGGGCTATTTGATGTATCTCTGTGCTGTATTTTAACTGGGTATCAGGGATGTTCTAACACCCACAAAGGGTTAACATAATTAGAGTTAGAAAAGTCTTGTTACTAGAGGACATGTTTTGATTATTAGATCAGATGAAGATAAGAAGCAATAATTTTGGAAGTATTTCTGTATTGTTTCATTAAGTCATAGAGTATTAAACAATTCCCCCAAGACACAGGCTGAGAACATTGCTTTAATTTGTGAAACTCTTTTTTTTTTTTTTTTTTTTTTTTTTTGTGGAGGCAACTGTTACCATCTCTGTTATTTTAGAAGCAATTCCTCCATAATCAAACCTGAGATCTACACATTGTCACTGAGATTTGGTGCTGTGTACAACACAGCTCTGGCACAGGCTTTCCCAGCACTTTGGGGTAAAAGCAAGTACTTTGAACTATATTTATAGTTGCAACAAATAAGGTTAAAGAGGGTTGAAATGACTAAAACTTTATCAATAGAGGCACTGCATCAGACACTATCAACAGAAAGCTAAATACAGAGCATTAGCTGGGCAAGGCTCTGAGAAAATGGAAGGAGATTACTGAAATGGAAATCAAAGACTTGCTCTGTCATTTCTATGATCCTACTCCCTTTGAAGTTAATGGCTAAACTAATACTGACCTCACCAGGAACATGCTTTATTCCAAGAAAATCTGTCAAGTGCAAGGACTCAAGATATTTTCTATCAGGCTTTATGAAAAAGGAAAAGAAAAAAAAAAACCAACCCTCTAACATGGGCGTAGCCAGCAAAATGTGTCCCTTAAAACCAGGGCAGCTCTTTTCACCCTCAGTAAAAGTGGTGCCCACACGGTGACAGGTGGGCAGGGACTGATATTGTCAATATAGTTACATAATAGGTCTCCTTTGCTCCACTGAATTTTCATAAAAATTCTGCAAAGCTGGCTTAAAACATGCAGAAAGCACCGACTGCAACACTTTAGCTTCCATTCCTAACAGACATCTCTCCACGTAAATTATGCTCCACCACAGCAAAACTAGTAACTGCTTAAAAAATGTCAGAATTAGAGCAATTTGTAAGAGTTTCAATTGAACATTAAATCATTCTGATAGAGCTGAACTGCCCACGCCACAGTCAGAGCTGAGTGGGTACCATCAGCCTCCTGCTCTCCAAAAACCCTCAGACTATCAAACCTGCAAAACTACCAAGTCTTTAATGGAATAGATAAATTTATCTTGTTTACACTTTGGAGCTCCGAGCTGGTGGAACAATGAAGGAGACGGGGAGTTACAGGAAACTGATTCATCCCACAGGGCAGGAAACATTCCTCGTGCTCACGGAGACATCACAACTGTGTGGGCTCAGCACAAAGAAAGTGAAGCTGCCCAAGCAGAAGGTAAAAGGGTCACTCACAAAATTCTTAGCTGTTCCTTCTGGTTCTAGTGCAGTGCTGTATGCAAATGAGTATAGCACCAGACCACTAATTATAAATGGGAATTATCATGCAGCAAAGAGTTAAAAAATAATGAAATGGTTATTAAGGATAAGAGCCTTCTCTATGTCCTGATTTTATTTGTTTCTGTGCTTTAAATGACACACTTCCCTTTTCCAGTGGACAGAACTGGAAGGGGTAGCAGGTAAATTTAAAGATAAACCATAAACATTCCTGGCAAATCTTCAATACCAATCACTGGAATGGGAATTAGAAGTTTTAAAGCCTAGAAGGATTTTCTGTGCCTTTTCAGTTCAGCTGTCTCATTACGTATCCACGGTCAATAAATGTTGGGGTTTGAGGGTGGGTTTAATTCTAAAGGTAGCCCATGTTCTCCAAAAACACATTTCAAGACAATAAGAACTGAGTAACTTAGATTTTTAAAAGAAATGTGATCACTTAGAATACAAAACATCCCTGCTCACGGGAGGGGCTTTGGAATTAGATGACCTTTAAAGTCCCTTCCAACCAAACCATTCTGTGATTCTATGAATGCCACAGAAAACAGAATTCAGCAGCATCCTGAAGAAGCAGAACCACAGCAGACTTACACCAGTAAACCCCAATATCACGATATCTGTTACAAACATCACGAGCTGCTGAGCACAGAACTGAGCCTTACTTTGAGTGTGCTGTTCTTGGCTGTCAGCTGCTGCTCCAGCTGGGAGATTTGGCTGCTGGAGTTCTCCCTCAGCTTGGTGAGGCTGCCCTGGAGTCTCTGGACATCTTCCACGAGCTGGGCGATCTCCCGCTCCTTCGCAGCCAGTTCTACTTCCAAGCTGGACCGTGTTAGCACCTCGATGGCCTGCTCCTGATGGGAACAAAGCAGCAGACCACAGAAATTAAAAAAGGCAACAAGCCTGAATTCAGGGCAGTTTGGCAAGGACCAAGCATGGCATCAGGTGGCACGAGAAACAGAGACAGTTCCTAAATGTGGGACTCCCATGACTGACTGCGTGAAACTGGAAGATGAGCCTTTCTACTGCCCAGGACAGCTCCCAGGGAAAACAGGGATAACAGAGAGAATAAATTCCCCCATTTCATAAGTGCACTGGAAAGATGCAGCCGTGAAAGTCAAAGGATTCTATTTAGTTCTATTTATTATTAATAGCCCGAATGCTTTGACAACTATGAAAATCTGTGCTTACAAAATACTAATCAGATAAAATATTCCGAAGTAATGGAGCAGAATTTCTTAATCAGGAACGGCAGGGCCATGTGCCTGTGGCTCTCTGAATGCACAGTGCACGTTTCAGGCAAAATTGTCAAAAATTGCCCCAAACTGCTACTTCCAATGAACTTGCTCCTCGCATGAAAATCATTCATGTTAATATTATTGCAAGCATCCCTCCACGGGGAAGAAGATAAATGTGACAGCTCTAAGACAAGGCCATTCTCCCCTTGGTCACCACTTTCAGAAATTCTCTTCCCTAAATCTTTCTTCTTCCAGTTTCCCACAGCTGCAAAAATCCATCCTCAAGTCGGAAACTTCCTCCCTAGACCGACCTGCCAGTAGGACAGGAAACTGGAGAGGAGAGAGAGGTTCAGGAAAAGGCAGATCTACTCAGAAAAGATAACAGAAACTAATTGTACCATCTCTTTGTCTCCTTTTGTGCTAAGAGATCAACAGCTGTAACACATCGGAGAGCTCCAAACCTCTTCCATGAAGAACGTGAGGAAACCCTTGAGCATGTGTGGGGAGCACGAGCCCAACCATGAACACACATTCCATTAAAGAGCCTAAAATGCATCTTACAGAGGTTAATGGCTGTTCCTCAGAAACACCAGTGAAGTAGGAGAGAATCCATTTAGCAAGAGAGACAGTGATGGTGAGCATTAAACCAAAGATCCTGCGGAAGAGATGGGAATTCAACCCACCAACGCTGTCACCCAAACACTTCCCTGACAATTCAAGATGACACTGCAGCAGATTGAAATATATTCCACATCCGCTTTTCTGGGAATACAGGAACAACAAAATACCCTTTTCCATATCTTCTAAACACTTATCTTGATTCTCAGTGACTACACCCCCCTGTACTCTGAGAAAGCTGCAAGTACGAACAGCAGTTAACAACACTCTCCTATTACACTGAATTATACTTTTAACTTGAAAAAACCTCTAATTTGCTTGCATGAAACATCACAAGTTGTATAATCATCTGCTGCTTGTGCCTATTGAGACTAGAACGTGGAGTCTGAAATAAGATAGATAATGATCATTTTCATCCTGCAGTAGTTGTCATATTAAATATAAATGAAGTGCAGAAGTACTATTAAATACAAGAAAGACCTAATGTTAAAATAATGATAAGACTAGGACATGAGATAGGAAGAGGTAGGTAATTCAGAGTTACAAGTGATATTCAGGCTTTTTATTTTTTGTTTTGCAGCCTACTTGTCTGTCTTTTGACTTCTCTGAGAAAATGCTGGGTTGTATTAATAGACAAGCAAACAGATCTGGAGGACTTATGGTTTGTTACTCATTCTCTGCAAATGATTTTTAAAGACAACCATGTGTTTCTCTGCTATCAGTGTCAAGCCCGTGTATGGCTTGCAAGAAAAAAAAAAAAAGCAATGATTTCTTTTGTTTGTTAAATCTGCTACTCAGAAGTAGACTACATTTCACTTAATTGCATATTTACATTTAAAGACTCCTATTTCTCCTTTGGCAAACAAAATTCAAACTAATCTGGCTGCTCATCTGTGATACCTGTTCACCCAGGACCAGCTGGAGTCCTGGAGCAGCAATGTGTGCCTGCAGGTCCCACCAGCAGAGCCAGCACTGCCTTTATTTAGAACCACACAGAGCAGGCAACAAGCAGGAGTGCAGGATGTCTTCTCAATTTTCAAAGCTGCTTTCATTGGATTTATAGGTGTAATTCTCAGTTTTAGATATATCCAGTGAAAACTGGAGTGAGTTCAAATTTATTTCCAGTTCCTCTGGCAGCCCAGACACTGAGGGTAACGAGAGGGAGCTCTGGGCAAAGCAGGTCCCTTTGGGTTGAAGCTCCACACCTCCACTGGTCCTCCAGGTTTGCTGCCTCTATTTTAACTCTGCTGATGCTCTTTAGCAACGTGAAATAATTTCTGAGAGCTGTTGCTATCCACCTGGACCTGCAGCCCCGGAGAGTGATGGATCACCACGGAGCCAAGTGGCCTCTGTCCTTCCCGGGGTCTTCTCCAGCCACCAACCCCTTCAGAAGTTGAACCCACCCACAGTCCCAAAGGAACACCCTTCCATTTCAGTTAAAATACGACTCCAAAGAGTTATTTTTATAGCTGTGAGCATAAATTGAAAGAGCTGTACTGCAGGAATGTCAGAAACCTGTAAGAGTCAGTAAATATTTTCTCTCACCACATCAGGTGCCTTCTGGATCTGCGTAGCAAGTTGGAGAGATTTGTTAGCTGATGAGAGCTGCTCCCTTAAGGTCTCTGCCTCTCTCTGAGCCACCTCTGCCCTCTGAAGGAAATGAAAAGGGGTGAAAAGAGAAAGTACATTCAGTTTAACAACTGACAATTATTACAAGAACATTCATCAATTCATGCCTGACTGAATATAATTGATTTTCCTAAACACTCAACCTAATAAATGTTAGAAAAAAACATAGAATGTGATGGATTTTTATTTTAAACAGTACAAGGAAGAAATAATTGAGCGATTATGACAGTAATTTAACGCTAGGAGCAAGGAATCCCCTGCTGATACTAATGCTGCGGCCCACTGAATTTCCCAGACTGAATAAATACAAGTGGAAATGGAGTCTTTTTATTCAATTTCTTTCTATTCTCATAGACCAAGCAGATTTTATTGCAAGGCTCCTCATGGGAATAATTCTCACGGGTAAATGCCGAATTAAAAGATATTCTGACCACTCTCTCAAACACACATACAATGTTGTGGGCTGTCTTTCTGCAGTAATTATTCCCCCAAACATGAACTGTTAGATTCTGTTCTTTCAGCAGGTCTGTTTATTCAACAATATTTAACCCTGAAGTGACAATTTTGCACAGCTCAGTTACCAACTGCTGAGGATTTATGCAATAGCTGATAAGCCTGTGACTTGGCTTCTGGTCAGAATTCCCATCTGAATATTGAATAATAATAGAAAGGAGAAAGGCAGAATTATGAGGAAATATTGTCTGTACAAGAGTTTGGGTAGAGACAGATGGATCAGTAACTTCAGGCAATAAATAGCAGCAAAGTCCTTTCCATAACTGTCTGCAAGCTTCTGTTAGAAGTGGAACAAAACCTGGTTGTTTTACAGTACATCCTCCTCCTGGCCAGACTGTCTTCTCTCTTTGTTTAAAGAAATGCATTTTATTGTTGCAAAACCACACTGCCTACCTCCTTCAGCAATCACTGCTTTTCACCTGGGCCACTCCATGCAAATCATGCTGTGCTTTTAGCAGAAAACAGGCAAAATAATTTTCTATCTCCACTTGCAAGACCTATCACCAACTCTTCCAAACCCATCAGCTGCCACCAGCGAAGGTCAAAACTTTTCTTGACTGGCTTTTACCCTTCCTTTACAGAAAGATAAATTCCCACTGCCATTTTTAAGCCACCAAAAGTGTCACATTTTGTGTGCCAGACTCTTTGCTACTCCTTTGGAAAACCTAAGCCATCTGAAACAGCAAATATAAAATACAGAGGAAATGTAAAATCTAGAGTGAATATAAAACCTATAGCGAAAATAAAAAATCTACAGTGAATATAAAAAATCTACAGTGAATATAAAATCTATAGCAAATATAAATCTATAGCAAATATAAATCTGTAGCAAATATAAACCCTATACTCCTTTGTGTGTGTGGTCTCTGACTTTCTCACCAGTCAAAGCAGAGCCTCTGCACGTTTAATCAATGAGTAAACTAACAGCAATCAAATACTAAACGCATCATCTGCGCTATTTGCTCACAACATTGTATTAAATGATTTTGCATAGGTTCTGCAGCTGTAATTAAAATGTGATTGTAAAAAGTACAGTGTCGTGGCACTAATAATGAGAGCAGGGCACACAACCTATTGTGTGCTTGGGAAAAAATGGTAACAGCACTAAAATGGCACAAAAAGAGAAATATTAGGATAAATACTGAGCTAATGATCCACATTGAGATAAATTATTTCCTTGTGTTTTGTTAGATGTGGAGCTACGTATATTGATCTAATAACTGCGAAACAACTCCAGCAAAGCAGGACAAGTTACTGCACTGTGGCACTTGCTCTTGCATCTACTGCTGTATAAGTAATGGGTTTTGCAGCCTTGAGCAATTCTGCTGATGGCTTCCATTCACTGCAGCATTGTTTGGAGAATCTATTCAGCTCGCATGCGAGCAAACCACAGAGGATATTGCTAATAGGTGGTACATCTGCATATACAGTGAGCTGTCAGCTGCCCTTTCTGCACAGCCTCCCCAGCCAATTCACAACACCTGTTGTGATCCTCGGAATAATATCTGACAAGATTTCATTGTTAAAAATACATCGGCACAAACTTCGGGCAATTCTATTCGGGAAATACTCGTCAATTTTTCTCTTCCCCCCCCCCCAAGAATGGAAGCTTTTTAGAGCCAGAATTACAGATGTGTTCAGCGTCTGGAAAGCACTTTTGGGTGCTATTGCAATATGAATTATAAATGGCACACAAAAACCTATTAAAAGAACAGTAGTTTCAAATCTGAGCACTTACAAGTTTGGAAAAGCCAACCCCGAGTGCAGGGTTTTGAGAGGTGGGATGGCCCCACACAGGACCTGCTGTTGCTTTTTTCCAATGAGTCTCTACTCCATCCAGCTCTGGGATGAATATTGCTCGGTGAATGGATCTTTGGCTTTGTCCTCCTTGTTCCGTGTGTGACCCCTGCAACTTTATTTACTGCAAGCTAATCCCACCCTCCTCTGCCGACAGGATTGATCACTTCCTCACAGGCTGTGCTCCACCACCAGAGGATCTAAGTGCTTCAGAAACATTAATGAATGCGCTGGCACAACCCCTATTTGGAGCTATTTGGGTTCCTCAAGCCCCTGGCACATCTCTCTGCGTGGCAGCATCAACCACAGTGTGGCACGAGCTGCCTCTGCCCGTTCCTCACCTGCGCCGAGACCCTGCACAGTGCCTGTGGTGCTGCTCCCCGTTAAACCCTCTGGATTTGCCTTCTTGACTCCCACTGTCCCTTGTTTGTCACTCTGTCCCCTTCCTAATTTTGGCTGCTGGAAGCACTGTTTTTATCTTCTCTGAGCTTCACAGTGCCTTTAGCTCCAGGCAGGCAAAAGCCAGCTCATACCTCACACAACTTAACGAATTCACACAAACTTCCAGAATTAGCCTTACCCCCATGATCTCCTTCCTCTTTTCCTCCTTCCTCTTTTCCTCGTTGCTTCTTCTCCAAAAGTCTTCACAAAATGTCCTCCAAGTGTCCCAGTCTTCCTCCCCACTCCCTCCCACCATGAACCCTTCTCCCCTTCCTGCTCCCACACCGTGTCCCATATCCTGTCGTTGCCGTAGTAAGCTGGGGGAGCGTCTCCCCTCCCCGTGCTCCCCCTGTGCCAGAGTGGCACAGAACCTTACATCACATCCAGGAGAAGGAAAACCTGGCTGGTTAATGTTCACCCAGTGACAGACTGCAGCGTGCCTGGGACAGGCACCGACAGCAAAGCCGACAAATTCAAACCAGATTCCATTGAGTTGGTGTGAACTCTTTTTTTCCAGACTCTTACAGGCTGGCTAAACTTGGGGCTTCTTTTTTTTGTTGTTTTGTTTTAACTTCTTTTTTTTTTTTAATTTTTCTACATGAAGCAACAGAAGATACAACCCTGAGAAAAAGGCAAACCCTCCTTCCTCAAGCGCCAAGCCCCTTCTATTAAATCTGGGCACAGCAGGCTCCTCACCAAAACAGCAAGAAAAACTCAGAACATGTGGGGAATTTCTTTTTTTTTTTTTTCTCCTAATCTTGTTCTTAGAAATGGTTGAACAATTTTTCCTGAAATGAGAAAAGAGAGCACAGCCAGAGACAGGCGCCCAGTATGGAAAATGGATAAACCCAAGGAATCTTGCACAACGTGGAGCCACTGGAAAGTTCACATAACCTTCTGTTTGCATGAAACTGTGCCACTTCAGCTAAGAAATATCTAGAGATTCACAGAACCCTAGAATGGTTTGGGTTGGAAGAGCCTTTAAAGACCATGTTGTTCCACTCCCCTACCATGGGCAGGGACACCTTCCACTGTCCCAGGTTGCTCCAAGCCCTGTCCAACCTGGCCTTGGACACTTCCAGGGATGGGGCAGCCACAGCTTCTCTGGGCAACCTGTGTCAGGGCCTAACCACTCTCAGAGGGAAGAATTTCTTCCCAATATCCCATCTAACCCTGCCCTCTGGCAGTGGGAAGCCATTTCCCCTGGTTCTGTCACTCCATCCCTTGCCTGAAGTCCCTCTCCAGCTCTCTTGGAGCTCCTTGAGGCACTGGATATGCCATATCACAGTTGCTTTTCATCCATCAGTGCTAAAACTATTGGTTTCTTACTTCCAAATCCTACGTACAGTCAAGAAAACCCTCAATGACCAGTGACAGTCACACAGGTGGCTTTGATGAAGATCATGCAAATCTACTGTTGCCAAAAAAATCCTATTTTTCTAGATAGTTCAGTCACACAATTCCCTCTAATTCCTATACCACTGTTTTTCTAGCACAGAACCACCTCCCTGGCAAGAAAATATTTCAAAATACTTTCATTCTGCCTCATACAGCAGGTAAATATTGTACAGCTCACGGCGGAGCCGGGAGGTCACGCTCGCAATGCTGCCGTGGGCTTTCCAATTAAAAGAAAGGAAAAGAAAAAAAGCCTTACACAATACATCCAGTTTAAATTATTCTCCTTGTTTCCTGACAAGATAATGAATAGCATGAACCGAGTGCTCTTCTACTTACAGTAAAATGTTAATTTGATCAGAGACCAGTGGTGTGAACAGCAAAATGAGATACTTACACACACACACACACAAAAAAAAGTATAACCTTTCCCTTAAAGTTCCATCAGCCAAACTGTATTTCCTCACTCCATGCTAAATTCAGTGCTGTGTGTGGCAAAATCTTCCTATGGGCGAGGAGTGGGTATTATCACAAGTAATTCTGCTGCAGTTAATGAGCCTGGTTGTGGCAGCAATCACCACGCTTGGAGCTGACATTCGTACTTGCAAGCTGCTGCAAAAGCTGTGTTTCTGAGCGTGAGATCAATTAAAACACACTGGCTCAATGTGCTTTAATGTTCTAACTTTCCAGATATAAAAATTTACTGTAAAATCTTTAAATGGCCCTAACTTCCACAGAACAGCAAGCAAGGTTAGATGAAAATCAGGGACGTGATTCTTCAGGGCTCTGGCACCTATTTTTTCCAACAATGGAGAATTACATCAAAAAAAGAAAAAACTCCACCAACCAGAAGAGGTTGAGTTGTCTTCATTCTT